AGACGACATTTTCAGTGATCCTCGGTATGGATGATTTTGAGAAGAGGAAGTTGATTTTAGAGTATTATAACAAGGACTTCAAATCAGCTAAAGTGATTTCAAGTAGAACAGACATCCCTTTTGTCCACTGTTTATCGTGTTTTGAAACTATTGCAAATGGGTATGGCATTGAGCACCAGGGAGGCGCAGGGAGGCCCAGAAAATTGACTGTCGGTGACAGGAGGCGGCTTTTCTAGCCGATGCACCAGCACACCTTTGGGGTTGGCGAACCCCGGCAAGACTAGGAAACGCCTCAGCTTTGATGGCGAAGTGCCGTCAATAATGTAAGTTAGATTTCATTTGTATCAAAATCGATTTAATACACGGTATATACGAGTATGAGTAAACCAGTCCTCTGCAGAGAGTACAAACTTGATTTAACTATAATCTTGATGCTCGCGCGTTTATTTTCTACTACGCGTTACCGTATATAAGACGCATAATTCTGAATTTGTTTCTGTTTTGTCAATTTAGCAAATCCAGAAAGATGGACACACCGGCAGCATGTCCTCCACGATCGCCGTCGTGGATAACGGAGACCCCCGTGAGCACACCTTTCGGCTTGGCGAACCCCTATAAGGCGCGGCAACGCCTTAGTTTTGGCGGCGAAGTGTCGTCAGTAATGTAAGTTAGATTTCATTTGTATCAAAATCGATTTCATACACGGTATATGCGAGTATCAGTAAACCAGTGCACTGTTAACGGTACCAATTAGATTTAGCTATAATCTTCACGCATACGCGTTTAATTTCTACTGCGCGTTACCGTATATAAGACGTATAATCCTGTATTTGTTTTCTGTGAATTTAGAAAATGCAGAAAGATCTCCCCCCAGAAAGATTCCCCCCAGTCTCCTTCCTGGATCGAGGAGACAGCCGTCAGTGGGAAAAGTTCGTCCCCGGACAAAGTGAGTTTTCATTTATACTAATAGACGCGAAAATAAAACGGCTAACGCGACTTAGATTTATTTTAATTCTGAATTGTATTTGTCCTTATCTTTTTCAGATCAAGCAAGATCTACTACTGCTAGTACAATTGGGCCGCGCAATCATGTCGGAAATGGAGGAGCGTATCTCCACGATGTAAATTTTGGAATTTGAATCCTACCCGGTCTAGTATCTCAAATTATCCTTTAGATTTTAAAGTACATTATTTTATTTTACTGACAACTCCGATTAATTATTCTAATTTTAAGTTCTCTAAAAAAAATAAAAAATAAAATAATTACGATATTGATTTCATCATTCCATTTTTCATACAGAAATATATTTTTCGGGTAGGATTCAAATTTCAAAGATTATCCATTTATTGTGGAGTATTTTGTTATTGTTATTGCTATTGTTGTTTTTATTCTAAGTTAAAATGTTCTTTTTTCTGTACATCTTTAAAACTTTGGCTTTAATCTGTTCAGTAATTATTTATTGTCCATCTTTAGTGTTTTATTATTGCATTTCAGCTCCATAGTTAATGCTAGCTCTTTTTGTCCATATATTTTCGTTTTTAAATTGTATTTTGTTTTAGAAAAATAAATTGTTAGGGGGTTCTGTTATAAAATATGTCGACCGAGTACACGTAATCTAGGCCGCATTTTTATAAGATATTCACCTGACTCGAATATTTGACAAAACGCCGGGGAAGATAAGAATATTTTCTCAGGATTTGGAGCGGCATTCGCGGTGTGTTTGGAGTTTACGAAGGAATTGTATTGGATTTATACTCGTGGTGAGTACTTTCAGTTTATGTTTTCATTTCGTCAAATGCTTCTCATACCCGTATAGTCATAGCGTAAAAGTCGCTGTTATCGCCGTTAAATATCGATCGTGTGCGCTCGAGTGGCGGTTCAGGCTAAGCCTCGAATGGAATTCTTTCGTTTCATCAGGGTCGATCGGGTCCGCGGACTGTTACTATCGGCGCCCTAATACTCTTACCGGCAATGCGTGAACTGATTGAGAACTTATATACCCATTTTCGTATCTAATACCCGTATTGCCCGATATATTTTCAACTGTTTGCGCGTTTGAATTAGCGTAAACTCCCTCCATCTCTTTATTCATTATTTTTATCGTTGTAAATTTTGTATTGTCTCGTGTACTACTGCTTGTGGTTTTCCGGAAATAGATTTCTGTCTATGCTTATAAGGACTTGTTACTACGAGCCTGAAGGTTATAGTCTAGTTTACCGGCATCGCTGTTGAAACAAAAGGGGTAATGTTAAAGGCTTAGGTCAATTTATTATAAATTTTTAAATGCTTTTGTGTGGTTTTATTATGATTATTGTTTTTAAATCGTCAGTTCTATTTCGCCTAATATATAAAGTAATAAATAAAATGAACGTATTAACCTCGATTTTTTTAATATTTGACGTCCTGGGAACGATATTTCGAACGTTGATGACGCTAATGACGATAGCGTGGGGACGCTATAGTCTTTTATAGCGAGCAATCGTTCCCTTTGGTAAATTATGATCGGAAACCAATCGCGGCTCGCGAATGTATCGATTTTTTTTCGAGACAAAGAGGACAATGAACCGACGGTGACGGTACCGCGTCTGGTCGTGACGTCACGCGGTCGAATGCCTCCGATTGGGTGAAATTATGATCGGAAACCAATCGCTACGACGCTCTTCGGCCACGCCCCTTTCCGATCAAAGAGAGGTATATACAACACACAGGAAGGATTCAAGATCATTTATGTACAAAGCAAATAAAAACGGTGATAAATTCTCCCCCTGTCTAACACCAGTGTTACATGAGAATAGGGGTGACATGACATTGTTAAGTTTAACACATGATTTGATTTGCTGATACATATTATGAATAACTATAAAACATTTATATTAATACATTAGCTTTGATCAATTTCATCCATAACCCATTTCTCCAAACACTGTCAAAAGCTTTGCTAAAATCAATGAAGGCGCAGCATAATTTCTTGTTAAGATTTTTGTATATGTCGATGAGTGATTTAAGTACGTAAACATGATCTATAGTTGAAAAGGATTTACGGAAGGCTGCCTATGATTTATTTATCAATTCAATGGACTCTGAGTAATTTTGAAGCCTGTCCGAAATAATTGAGGTGAATAGTTTGCCCAAGCAGCTTACAATGGTAATACCCCTGTAGTTATCAGGATTTGATGGGTTCCCCTTGCCTTTGAAAATTGGTGTTATATAACCTGTTACCCAAGCTTCAGGTACTACACCATTGTTTAAAACACAAATAAAAAGATTTACGTATGCAGGCATCATTACACCAAGCGAAGATTTTATGTATTCGTTGTAAACGCAATCAAGCCCACAAGCCTTGTCGTTTTTTTTTTGTCGCACATCTGATACATGTGGTTTCACCTTAAACAAGTGATTTTGTTCAAAATTGCTCTGTTATCCGGTGGGATAACTCATGCCACTATAAACTTCTAGCGTCTCACAGGCAGCTGGGGTTATCGGGGGGTAATACTGTGTTAGCGCTTTGAGCGTGCACAAGTATGCGGAAACGAATACGGATGTAATGTTGGTACTATGTAATAATAATGTAATGTTATATAGTGTAATAAGAATGTTATGGAATGCTATGTTAAATGAATATAATATAATGTTAAGTAATAAAAATGTAATATACTGGTATGTATTGTAATAAGAATGTAAAGTTACGATATGTAATAAGATTGTAAGTTAATGGTATGTAATCAAAATGTAATGTAATGGTATGTAATAAGAATGGAATGTAATGGTATAAAAATGTAATGTAATGGTATAAAAATGTAATGTAATGGTATAAAAATGTAATGTAATACGAATGTTCTATTATGTAATAAGAATGTTCTGTTCTGTAATGCAATAGGAATGTAATGTGATAAGAATGTAATGTAATAAGGATATTCTGTTATGCGATAGTAATGTAATGTTATGTAATAAGGATGCAATGGCATGCAATGTAATGTTGACATAAAGAAATAATGTTTTGCTATGTAATAAAAATGTAACATTTACGCGCAGGTTTCTTTGAAAGACATTCACTTATGAAATGAACTGCGAATAGCTTCACTCAGGGTGAGACCCGCGAAGGTCCGGGTTAGAATTGGCCTTAAGTAACCCATGCTTGTCGTAAGAGGCAACTAACAGGATCGGGTGGTCAGCTCGCTGGCTTGGTTGACACATGTCATCAGTTCCCCATTGCGTAGATTGATTTTCATGCTGTTGTTCACTGGATTGTCTGATCCAGACTCGATTATTTACAGACCGCCGCCATATAGCTGGAATACTGCTGAGTGCGGCGTAAAACTAAACTCACTCACTCACTCATTCATTCAGGGTGAGTGACTGAGTATTTTCTTAATCCGCTTTCAGCAATATTTCAGCAACATCATGTCGGGGGAGTCATTGAGTGAGTATGGTTTTACGCCGCTTTTAGCAATATTCTAAGAATATCGCGGCGGGAACACCAGACATGGGCTTCACACATTGTACCCGTACGTGTGTGGGGAATCGAACCCGGGCCTTCGGCGTAACGAGCGGACGCTTTAATCACCAGACTACCCTTCGCCCTCGATTCAAGCAGGAAGTAATGTATGACTTTTGATGACACTTCATCTTGTTCTGGTGCACGTTAGACAATTTGTACCAGGATTTTGACCAAATGTGATATGTTTAATATCTATGTTTAGACTGGAGTATAGTAGGCCCCTATAATTATCTAAATTCAAGTCAATTTAAGTGGTCATGTAAATATTATTTTATATTTACAGTATATTTCACTGTGCCAAAAATGAAGTTGTAGTTTGAAAACATGTACACAATGTTTGTGACTAGAATAACTAAAGTACGGATCTTTTATGAGTTGCCTGATCACAAGTATTAAAGGCTGTTACTGTTTGGATAAAGAAATGTGACTACCATATTTATGTCAATTTGTTTTGTGCAATAAAATCATTAAATGTCATAAATATAAATATACACTTCTTACCTTGCAGATCCGTCTCCGCAGACGAGTGCACAGTTAGTTACACATATACAGAGATCGGGGGGCTTGTATTGTAATATGACGTAGTTGATAGATAAGGCGAGTTTATAACGTGTTATACAACCTCGCCAACGAGGAATTTAACTGTGCTCCATGTGAAAATCAATATTGACCTTACGACCGGGTATTAAAGGCTTGGCGAGGAGTAGGGTGTTTATGAGAGGCGGAGTTGGTACGTCGAGATCTCTTCACTTTGAGATAAGAAATACATGTAGGTTGCACTCCCTTGAGTTCACTCTAGTTAAAGTAAAGCAGCGGAGTGAGTGAGTGAGGTACAGCATCATTCCAGCAATATCTAGGCGAGAGACACCACAAGTCTGCTTCACACATTGTACCCTGTGAGAATCGAAATTGGGCTTTTTGTGTGAAGTGGCTTCAATTATTTTCTGTCTGTGAACATGATCGACAAACATAAAATATCCATACATAATTGTAACAATCTAGTGTTCATATTGTACGAAAATAGTTTGTCATTGAAAGTTATAATTGTACTCTATGTGTCTGACTCACCAGGCGTGTCATGATAACGTCGCTGAATACAAAATGAGACAAAGGCTGATTTGCAATGCCAGTTCAAAATAAAAAGAAAGAACAAAATATACACCTTGTGTTGAGGCAGTCTGTTTTGAGTATACAATATCGTGCCCAATCAACGCATATGTACAAAAACGCAACGTGGCCAGTGCCTAACGTTAACAGCCTAAAGTAGGCGAATCAGTCGATGTTTTTGGATGGCATTTTAGAAGTTGGGAAGTACAATATAGACAAACGTTATGGATAACATCTTCGTCATTTATGAGTGCGACGTTTCGATACAAATCCTTGTAACGTTGTGAAGCAGGGTTGATATGACAGTCCCATTGCTTGGCAACGTGTTTTGGAAAATAAACCCCAAACAACAGGCGTGTACATTCATTTGTGCATCAGTATATTTGAACTATTAGGTATTTGGGATCAAACCAAGCTACGCATCTAGTGGATATAGTTTCCACTAACCATTTCATATCCCTGAGTGACAACAAAACACTAGGTGGGCATGCAATATTCTGGCCTAAACGAATGGTGCCAAAGTTGATAAACTAGGAAAACTGGTCATGATGTTGACGGTCGTAAATGAAATCATCACGGGCGGACGCTCGCACGCACGCACGCACGCGCACACACATAGACATTCGGCTTCATAATATTTTTGAACTGTCAATTAATGTGGCTATGCTCACTACGTAATTGCGAGCTAATCTCAACAATTATCAGATAAATCTATTCCCAGCTAGTCCAGGATCTAGATTCAGGGAGCTTCCTATGTCAGATTACCCCGGCCTATGAGTAATACTCGTGTTGCAAGTCACGCAAGCTGATAACAGTCTTGTTTGAAAGGCAACCCGCCACTGTGGGTTTGAAAATACTGGCTGATATCTCTGTTGCTATCATAAATCTTTAATGTATGGGACTTAAACGCCAGTGGTCACGTTGACCTATCTATTTTAATGTTACGAGTCAGTATATGTATTTAACAAAAGGGTGTTCTCTATAACGAATACACAATCTCAATTTAGAAAGTGGTCAAATGTAACGCATTTCTCAGTTAAATATAGATTGTAGTTCATTTGTTGGGTTGATTGCCTTCCGGGATTGGAACCTACTCTCTTCAGAGTCAGGCACCTAATCGCGAGCACACAAAGTCAGCCGTCTAACCATGTTTTAATTAAGCCATATCAGGTTAACAATATGAGTGCGTGAGTGGGTTTTACGTCGCTTTAAGCAATACTCCAGCCATATCACGGCGGTGGACACCAAAAATGGGCTTGACACATTTTACCAATGTTCGGAATCGAACCCCGGCCTTCGGCGTGACGAGCGAACGCTTTAACCACAAGGCTATCCACCGCCCTAACAATATGAAATCTGATGAGAGAGAATATATTGTGATAATTACAATAGCAATGATGCGTCATAATTTCAAAAATAGATCCTATAAAACTGACTGGTGATGCTGCTGTGACCATGTGACGTGGCTGACTGTGTGTCGTCATAGCCTGATGACGAGGTTCGTTGTTCATGGCATCAACCACTAGATAGTCTGACCCAGTCTCAGGCATTTACAGTCGCTGATATTTTGTGGAAGAAAAGAACGAACAAACTATCATGATACTCGTGACACGCATGTCATATCGCCCACAGTGTCTTGAAACAGATTGGCCAGGATACACCGGTTAGAATTGGTCTACAGCAACCCATGCTTGTCGTAGGAAGCGATTACCCGAAACAGGTGTTGGTTGACACATGTCATCGTATTGCAATTGCGAAAATCGATGCTCATAATGTTGATCACTAGATTGCCTGGTCCACTCGCAATCTATTTACAGACCGCCGCCATGTGAGTGAGGGAGTGAGTTAATATTTAGCGTCGATAATTTCAGCAAAATTGTTCTAAGAACAAATTGTTTTTTATACATTAAACATCTAGAAATATAAACCTTTTTTGTATGGACAGTATATAGATGGAATATTACTAACTGTTATAACATTAACGTCTTCGTAGATCTTATATTAAAAAAAATCTATTCATATCACTATAAATTTTAACTCACTCACTCAGATTTACACACATAAACAGATGTATTCCCATCGCCTGACTTCAGCACGAGTCAGAATAAACATATGACTGCAGCGGAACCGAAAGCGATAATTAATTAAGCGTTAATGTTCCTTGGATCATTTAATATTCCGAGACCATTTTATAAATAACTAAATAAGCAACGCCCGTGTTTATGGAATGTCAAATATGTCTTTAATAGCCATCTGTACACATATTTGGAGCTAAATGTGGATCTGTGCACTGGAACATATCTTAAAAGCCAAAAAAGAATTTTGTTTTTGTCATTCAAGTATCGACCAAAACACTTCAATGATTTACAGATGGCTAAATGTTGTAAATACGATCAAAAAATTGGTCTGGGATTTTTTTCGATAAAAGAGCGAACAAATGGGTTTTCTGAACCTTGTCGACTAAGTGAAACTATCAGTGTCAGACATCATTCCCTGTGATAAGATACGAAAATTAACTGTCCCGAGGAGATCCGGGATAGCATTGATCCCCAGCAACCCATGCTTGTCAGTGGAGGCGATTAACGCGATCGTGTGATCAGGCTCGCTGACTTCGTTGACACATTGCGTTAAACAAACTATCTCTATGAAACATACCCTGAATGAAAGTGGTATAAAATCCATCTCAACAAACGACACTCAAAACCCCTCGGGCCCACCCGATCAATGTCAGCGTTGTAAATTCTAACAACCGTATATTTGCAATACGAGACAACTGAGATACAGCGCATTTCACTGCTACTCGTGCTCGTCGTGCGACAGCAACTGCCGGGGAAACACAGACACAAACGTTACCCTTTGGGCACATCGTAGAGCATCGGTTATTTGTTGTGATACTTAGTCAAATAAATCTGCACAATATACGTAAATATGTAAAATGATAAAGACAAATTTGCTGAGAGAGTCTAATTGATATAATGAAGAAATATAGACAAAAACATAGAACTGACAAATCCTTATCATTCTCTTTAACTGCCAGCTAGTGAAAAAGATAATTCTTCATTGTGTTCTTGTAGTAACGTGTAAAGTGTGATCAGTCCCAAAGAAAGACATGCGATCAAATCAAGAAATAACAAGCATTGTCACTAAGGTGACATAATCCCCCGCCGCAAATTGTCAAATCAAACTTATATAGAAATGAAAGTTTAAGATGAAGTTAAATGTCATAAAAAACATGACCAGTCAACCTGTCTTGATATCTTGCTGTTTAGTTGTTCAAACACACACATATTTTCAACACTGACTTTGACCTTGACATGAATTTCATAGTGTATGGATTATGCAAAACTAGTACTAAAGAATTCGCTAATTGAAAAACATTCAATGGAAGTCTTGAAAGTCTATGAAGAAAATCCAGTGAACCGTTCTTAAAATATACTGAGTCAAAAAAGAAACTTCACATTCTTTCTTCAGGGCACTATAAAAGAACAGGAGATGGTAAGATGGTTAAATTGTTATTATTTCATTGCTGAGATCTGTGTGATGTACTCGATACACTGACAGTGCGATAATCAGTTCCATTAGGCTACACCGCCGTTCCAAAACATGGGAATACAGAATGTCAAGTCACAAGAATAAAAATGCGAAATTTCTCAGTTCAATATCGTGTATGGCCGCCCCGCGCATTCACCACTGCCAAACACCGTCTCCTCATCGACTGCCTGATGCTGGTGAACACGTGATTGGGGATTCTGCGCCATTGTTCCTGCAAATTCTGCAAAAGACCACGAAGCCTTCTCCCAAGTGCATCCCAAACGTGCTCTATTGGATTAAGGTCAGGGGACCTCCATGGCCAGTCCATGACGTTGATTCCAGCGTTTTGAAGGAAATTTCGTGTCAACATCGCGGTATGCGGCCGAGCATTATCATGCTGGAACTGAAGACCTGGGCCATGAGCCGCCATGAAAGGAACGAGTTCAGGGGTGAGCACCTGGTCGCGGTAAGCAGCAGCTGTGAGGTTTCCACGGATGACCAGAAGTCGGGAACGGTTATTCCCACAGAAAGCACCCCACACCATGCAACTTCCGCCCCCGAATCTGTCGACTTCCTGTACACAATATTGGGCATACTGTTCACGACGTCGTCTCCAGACTCTGCCGTCCGCGATTCATCGCTAAAGACGACTCGGTTCCAGTCTCTCTGGGTCCATCGGAGGTGACTTTGGGCCCACAGCGGACGTTGACGTTGATGAAACGGCATCAATATTGGCCCACGATATGGACGTCGAGAATGGAGATTGGCAGCCCGCAACCAATTTCGAGTTTGTTGTAGACGACCTCGCAAGTCATACACAGTACGATGGCTGCATCCCATTGCTCTTGCGACATCAATAACTGATCTTCCCGCTTGCAACATTCCAACGGCACGTTCACGTTGCACATTTCACAATCGTGGCATTTCAAGTACCGTTAGAACGTTTTTCTAG